GGAGGAGGCGGCTGATGCTAATTTCGAGAGTGCATCTGCCTGGTTGTTTTCTGATCTCGGTACTTGGATCAGATGGAAATCCTCAAGGGAGCCGACTGCTTGTCGGACCGCCTGTAAATATTTGATCATGGCCGGATGTGTTGCTTCGTATTCGCCATTGTACTGACTCACTATCAGTTGTGAATCAGAACAGGCGTCTATTTTCCTTGCCCCGGCCGCCTTACACATGCGGATCCCGGCTAGTAAAGCTTCATATTCTGCCTCATTGTTTGAAGCCTGGAAACTGAAGCGTAGAGCATACTCGAACCTGTCGCCCTCTGGAGATTGACATACGACGCCTGCTCCACAACCGTTTGAAGTAGAGCTTCCGTCCACATATACCTTCCAGACTTGGTCTGGAACTTGAGAGTCAGGAGGACGAGTCATCTCTACAATAAAGTCAGCAAAGGCTTGCCCCTTCACTGCTTTTCTAGGCTCGAAAGTAACTTCGAGACTCTGCATTTCTATGGCCCATTTGATCATTCGTCCGGAGGACTCCATGGTGGTAAGGGGCCGTTTGATCGGTTGGTCGGTATACACGACGACTGCATGTGCCAGAAAGTAGGGCTTCAATTTTTTAACAGCCATGAAGGGTGCAAGACCAAATTTCTCCACTAGGGGATACCTCAACTCGGCATTTTTCAGTACGTGACTGACAAAGTAGACCGGAAGTTGACAGCCGTCCCTTTCAGCAAGGAGCACCGCGCTTAACGCATGATCAGAGACGGCCAGGTACATGTAGAGATTTTCTTTGGGCAAAGGGCTGACCAGCCTTGGCAAGGAATGCAAGTGAACCTTTAATTTCTGGAAGGCGGCCTCAGCATCCGGCCCCCATTCAAACCTTGCCTTTTTCTTAATTGCCTGGAAAAAGTATAGGCATTTGTCGCCTGATCGGCTTAGAAATCTTCCCAAGGCCGCCAGACAACCTGTTAACTTCTGAACCTCTCGGACGGTACGAGGCGACTGCATGTCAACGACCGCCTGTACCTTCTCAGGGTTCGCCTCTATTCCTCTCTGGTTGATAAGGAATCCGAGAAATTTCCCAGACTCAACTCCAAATACACATTTCTTGGGATTGAGCATGACATGGTGCCGCCTGAGTGTGGCGAAAGTTTCTCGGAGGTCCGTCAGATGATCTTTCTGAAGTTTAGTCTTAACAATCATATCATCAATGTATGCCTCGACGTTTCTCCCAATCTGATCAAAGAACACTGTGTTTATCATTCGTTGGAATGTAGCCGGGGCATTCTTAAGACCAAACGGCATGACCGTATAACAGTATAATCCCTGATCAGTGACGAAGGCCGTCTTCTCCTGATCTTTCTTCCACAAAGGAATTTGATGAAAACCAGAATAGGCGTCCATAAAACTCATCAAGGCATGGCCGGCTGTTGAGTCGACCAGGTTATCAATTTTGGGCAGAGGGTAACTGTCTTTGGGGCACGCCTTGTTCAAGTCTGTGTAATCTACACACATTCGCCAGGTGCCATTCGGCTTTTTAACAAGTACCACATTTGCAACCCAATCTGGGAAGTAACATTGCCGAATGAACCCTGCATCAAGTAATTTTTTGACTTCGGCGGCGGCCGCCTGACCTCTTTCTTCACCATGGTTCCGCTTCTTTTGCCGTACCGGCTTCTTTTTCGGATCCACAGCGAGTTTGTGTACTGCCAGATCAGGACTAATGCCTGGCATTTCATGGACTTCAAATGCAAAGATGTCCTTGTATTCTTTCAACAGGTTGTGAAAGTCATCACCAAGGTTTCTCAGAGCAGTCGTCCCAACTTTGACTGTTCGGTCAGGGCGGGAGTCGTCTAATATCAGGTCCGTATGCTCACCAGCCGGCTGAGGGCGGAACTCATCCGGCCGGTCCTCTGCCAATGATTGCTATTTTCTTGCCTTTCTGGCGGACTCTGTCTGGGACGCCTTTCTTTTTCTGTCGCCTGTTTCTTGAACAGGCGCACTTTCCTTGACATTGTCAAGGTCTGTTTTTTCTCCACTTGACCCAGTGGCCTTAGCAGTGGGTTTGACATCCGAGAGATAGCACTCTCGGGCCATCCTCTGATCTCCCCTTAGGGAGCCGACTGTTCCATTGTCCCTTTCAAACTTAAGCAGCATAAGTGACGGGATTATAACAGCCTTGGCACTATTCAGGGTTGGGCGACCCAGAATCATGTTGTAGGCAGAGAGTTCCTCTACAACTAGGAATCGGACTACCATGTGTCGTCCTTCCCCTTTTTCGCCCAGGCGGACAGGTAGATCAACTCGTCCCAGTGGGTGGACGACTCCTCCTCCAAACCCTATTAAAGGGTGGGAGGCCGGATGTATGCAGTCCGTCTGATATTTCAGTTTTGACAGACATTTGCTGCTGATGAGATCTGAAGAGCTCCCAGTATCTATGAGGATTCGACCAACTCTCTGGTTGGCCACTTTACATTCAATAACGAGAGGGTCGTCATGCGGCCCCCTTATTCCTCCTAGATCCTCTTCAGTGATGACAATCTCAGGAAATGTATATTTGGACGGTCGTTCTTGGTGAACGGAATTTACATCTATCCGCCTTATATTATCTTTGTTGCCCCTAATAGTGGGGCCGCCTCCTGAGAAGCCGCCTGCAATGGTGTAGACGACTGCATCATCTGTATCGGAACTGTCGGCCTGTTGATTCTTTTTGGCCGACTGCTTTTTTGAGGAAGTATTCCCCGTAGATTTCTTGACATAAGTGTCAAGATCACCTTGATCAGCCAAGCGGTCTAGGTACCGCATGAGACTAATGCAGTCATTGGTGTGATGACCAATGTCATCATGATAAGCACAGATTTTGTCTTGGTTCCGGTTGCTCGCAGAACCCTTCATGGGGAGCGGTTTCTCAATTGAGAGCCGTCCCTTTATTTCTTTTAGGATAAACTGGTTATCCTTGTTAAACACATACTTTGGGGAGTATGGTTTGAATTCCTTTTTCTTCTTGGCCGGCTGTTTAGAGGAATCAGCCGCCCAGACCCCTTTTCTTTTTTCATCTTTGTTGGACGACTGTTTCTGTCGTCCTTCTCTATTGTCGAACCTCTTCCCGTCCGACTGTTTCATTGTACACAGATCAGTCGCCTGTATATAGGCTTCTGCTTCAATCAAGGCCTCTTGAAGAGTCGCCACCCTTTTTCGAACTAAATCAAATTTGAAGGTAGACCCGTCTTTGAGACCTCTAAAAAAGTCAGTATAAGCTACCTCATCCGGTAACCCTTGAATCTGTATTCTCATCAGGTTGAACCGCCTGATGTAGGAACGAAGCCCCTCCTTTTCACCCTGCTGAATTGTTCCCAAATCAAGGGTCGTTTTCTTCGCAGGGATGTTCATTGCAAAGTTGGAGGCAAATAAGTAAGCAAGCGTCCTGAAACTGTTTACACAACCAGTCGGCAGGTTGCCGAACCATTGCTGTGCAATTCCCTTGAGAGTTGCTGGGAAACACTTGCACCAAGTGGGATCATCCAACCCTTGAAGGTACATCAGGTTGGTGAATGCCATCAGATGGTCTTCTGGGTTAGTAGTGCCATCATAGGCGCCTACTAAAACATTTTTTACTTTGGCCGGCTGAGCGGCTTCAGTAATTTCCTTGGAGAAGGCCGACGGCTGTTCACCAAGTCTAAGCAGCCGTAGCTGCCAGTCCATAGGTTGGACGTTTTTTGCTGCAGGTCCACCAAATGGAGGTGGCTGCATAAAATATTGTTGTTGCGGCACAAATGGCAAATTTGGTACCGCCTGCGCACTATGAAAGCCAGACTGACGGGAGGTGCCGCCTGACTGATTCTCATGGTACGACTGAGTTGGCCTCATCGAGGCATTTCGCAAACTGTCCTGAAAATTTGAAGTAGAAGCCGACTCTGATAATCGGTCACTCTTCTTCTGCTCTAGCAGGTGCCGAGCATCTGTGAACGTTTGCTTTGACCCATCCGCCTGAATATGACGAACCGGTTTCCTATTTCCCGTAGGATAACGGAGTTTTGTGAAATCAAGAGCAGACGGCTCCCGCTTCTTAGATTTAGGATGGGGAGTCGCCTCTCGCCCTTGAACTGGCTTCCTCTTCAGTGAAGTGGAAGGTTTTTTGGCCGCCTGCTCTTTGACTGAAGCAGGCGGTTTTTTATTGATCAACTCTTGGATCTCTCCCTTGAATCCCCTCATGAAGGTCATGAGTTCGTTCCTTGTGATCGGAGCAGACCCATCAGTCGGCTGTTGCCGAGCAAGCGGTGCGCCTGCTGGCTCGCTTCCTGTTTGAAGATACTCCCGTTCCCTTATTTCAGTATGACGGGTACGGCGGGCCCTTAGGGTCCCGTCTGGAGCTGTATGAGTTTCAACTTCAAATTCACTTTCGGTATCATGGTCCGACTGAACTTGAGGGTCGTCTAGGGGACGCCTCTCTTCTGGGGTCGGTACAGACTTGGATGCCATCTCTGAAGTACTCTCCCCACAGACGGCGCCAAATGTTTCGGGGTTTTCTGATTTCCTGCGGGAGAGTTACAATTCCGAGACTGGAACCGGACGCCTGTACCTGCAAAATAACGGAGACTCCTGAGAGCTCCGCCTCCAACGGTCAAGTTAGTACCTGATTAAGGAGTAATTAATACAGAAATTAAAGTAATAAGGTCTCTCCAGGTGAGAGTATTTAATGTAGGTAATCTGCTTTGCTAGCGAGATCAGCCGGTTATTAGTGTGTTCTGTCAATTATTCGGTCCCTGATTAATGAGGATTAATCGAGTATTTATAGCCTTGGGAAGCGTGCAACTCTCTAGGTTTAAGGTAAACCTAGGGCCGAACGGGCTTCTAGACTGAAATGGGCCTTGATGGCCGGTTGTCCCATTTGGCATGGGTGGACACGTGGCGTGTCTTAAGTGGTCCGTGGAGGACGCGTGGCGGAACCTGGTTGGTCCACTTGTCAAACGGCGCTTGGTGGATAAAAATCCCCTAATCAGGTTTAATTGTCAAAAAGAAGTGCAGATCTAAAGGTTAGTCACATTACAAACCCTAATATAATGTATTTATGTTAGTTTGGTTTGGTTTCGCTTAACATAACTTAGTTTAGTTAAGTTTATTCTAATATAATGTATTTTAGTTTAGTTTAGTTTATTTTTTTTTTTAAGTAAATTACACTTAATTTTTTATATTTAAAATTAGTGGATTTGTAGTGTTTCTGTGAGAGTATGATGGGGTTTTCTTCACTAAATTTTTTTTTATGTTAAAAGTTAGTGGGTTTGTAGTATTTTTGTGAAAAGTATATATGGTGGTTTTGTTCTCTTTCATGAGATATTGGATGTGAAATTTTGAGAGACACATGAGTTACAATACTAAAAACAACGTTACTCTTTCTCTGCCATGAGTATTATTATTATTATTATTATTATTGTTATTATTATTATTATTATTATTATTAGTATTTAAACAGAGATGCAGACATTTATCAACAATTTGATTGCAGTTGGGTTGGTGGAATGGAAATGGCGAAGTATGGGAGCAGTTGAAAACTTGAAAAATGGTATATAAGATGTGTAAGTTATTAGGAAAAAAAGGAAAAAAAAGTGGTAGTTATTTAATTGGAGGTTATAGTTGAGGAAAAAAAAAAGAAAAAGAAACTCAAATGCATGAGATTTGAGAATTGGCTTTTTAAAGGGTTGTGGACTTGTGGTTGAATCACTCTGCAATTATATAAAAGATGTTAGTTTAGTTTAGTTTACTTTTTTGTAAGCATGTTAGTTTAGTTTATTTTATTTTAATATAATGCGGTTTAATTTAGTTTAGTTTTACTAAAGTATATTTGATTAGTTTAAAATTATGAAACTTTACTTAGGTTTTGTTCGTTTTGTTTAGTATGATGTATGTTAGATTACTTTAGTTCATTACAATCCAAATTAGTTTTGTTTAGTTTAATATAATGTTTCTTACTTAAGTTTTATTTTATATAATGCATGTTACTAGATTTAATATAATGATATGTTAGTTTAGTTTGTTTTTGTTTGGTTTGATTTGTTTATATTAATGTTATGGTTTTATGATATGTTTGTTTATGTTAAATTTAATTATGATATATTTGTATAATATTTTGTATGTTAATTTAGTTTTAATATTTTTAAATAAATCATTTGCATAATCATATGCCTAGATACCCGTTCAAGGCATACACATTAGGAGTATGTCTTGAATAGTCCCTGGTTGGGACTGTCCTTGTACGTTTATTCTCACTTAGGTGGTGAATGTATTCCTTTTTATTTAATTCTAAGGAAGATCCTTGCTTGTCATTTCTCTACAATGTTCTCTAGGTACATATATAGGTGTTTCTAATCGCCTATATTGTGTACTTGGAGAACTGTAGGGAAATGCTGCCGGATTTTCCATAGAATTGAAATCCTGGCATTCATTCACTAGTGAGATTGAACGTACAAGGATTGGTTAGGTTGGAGTGATAAGGATCCTTGGAAATCATTTATCTTCTCATTTGCATTTCCATAACACTTTGATCTATAATGAATATATATTGTGCTTTGTGACTAATGTGATTAATGGCATATGTGTTAGTTGTGTAGAACTTGTAATCATGAAACGAAAAGAACGTAGCTGGATGTACGAAAGGAAGGTTGGGAATTCTATTAATCCTGAGTTCTTGAAGGGGGTAGATAAATTCCTTAAATATGTGAAAGATCATCCCGAGAGTAGCAACTCGAATGAAGTTAGGTGTCCATGTTTTAAATGAAAAAACAAACGTCTTTGGGATGTGGATACGGTTAAACTTCATTTGTATCGCAGTGGTTTTTACCTAATTACTATGAGTGGATGTGTCATGGGGAAGGGTTTCTGGGAACTCGTGGAAGGAAGTCAAATGAATATCGTGAAATTGTTTTGGATGCATTTGGTCGGTCTCAAGATCAAGGGCATTCCGAAGAGGCAGTTGTTTCATTAGAGGAGTAGCCTAATGCACAAGCTAAGCCATTTTTTGATTTGTTAAGGGCTTCTGAACAACCGTTATACGAAGGGAGTTCATTGTTTGTGTTAGAGATGGCTTCTAGAATCACTAGCCTAAAGTGCGAGTATAATTTGCCGCACAGATGTGTTGATGGATTTGCTTCTTTGGTTAATGAAGCGATTCCTAACAACAACCACATGGCCGAGACATTCTATGAGGTCAAGAAAATTGTTAAGGGGTTAGAGCTGCCCCATGAAAAGATTCATGCATGCCCAAAAGGATGTATACTGTTTTGAAAAGATGATGCTCAATTATCTACATGTAGGGTGTGTGGCAGGGAACGATACAAGAAGACTTCTAAAGGTAGCTTAGTGCCTTTGAATGTTCTATTTTATTTCCCTATCACACCTAGGTTGCAAAGGCTTTTTGCAACTAAAAACATTTCTGAGGAAATGACATGGCATGCTAAAAATCCTCGAGTTCAAGGCACAATGGCACACCCTAGCGACAGTGAAGTGTGGAAACACCTTGATAGTTCCTTTCCTGAGTTTGCCTCTGAACCTCGTAATGTTCGACTTGGCCTATGTACTGATGGATTTGCTCCACATGGTCAGTTTGGGGGACAATATTCTTGTTGGCCTGTCATTTTGACCCCTTATAGCTTGCCTCCGTCAATGTGTATGAAACGACAGTTCATGTTTCTTTCGTTACTTGTTCCTGGTCCTAAAAACCCTAAGGGGAAACTTGGATGTTTACATGCAACCACTCATACACAAGTTGAAAAAGTTGTGGGAACTAGGGGCAAATACTTGCGATATTTCGAGAAAACAGAATTTCAATCTTTGAACAACCATCCTATGGACCGTTAGTGACTTCCCGGCTTATGGTATGTTATCTAGTTGGACCACAGCCGGTAAGAAGGCTTGGCCATATTGCATGGAGAAAATCAAAGCATTTTGGCTTGAACATGGTGGTAAGGTTTCTTGGTTTGATTGCCATCGTCAATTCCTTCCGACAAATCATCCTTTTCGAAATAGTAAAACTGCATTTTGTAAAAAAAAGTCAAAAAAGGTTCACCACCTCACATCATGTCAGGAGAACTCTGGGAATGTGTGAAAAACCTCCCGAAGGCAACGGATGGCCCCGAGGCAATGAAACGTCTCAAGAATGCAAAAAAAGGGTGGTTCAAGCAAAGCACTCTGTGGGACCTTTCATATTGGAAACATCTGCTTGTTCGTCACAACTTAGATGTCATGCACGTTGAAAAGAACTTTTTTGATCAGTTGATTCACACTATAATGGACGTGAAAAAGCTATCTTGTGACACGCCATCAGCTCGGAATGACATTGCCAAATACTGTAAACGACCCCAGCTACATCTTCAAGAGGATGATAGAGGAAAAGAATTCATGCCAAAGGCTCCATTTGCTCTTGACAAGGCTCAGAGAAAGGTTTTGTGTGAGTGGGTCAAACAGCTGCGGTTTCCTGATGGTTACGCTTCCAATTTGAGCAGATGCATTGATTTGCAAGCAGGTAAGTTACATGGAATGAAAAGCCATGATTGTCACGTGTTCACAGAGAGGTTGTTGCCCACTGCTTTGAGAGAATTGCTCCCTAGACATATATGGAATGCAATTACAGAGATAAGCCAATTCTTTCGCGATTTATGTTGCTACACAATTACAGTTAGCGACATGGAGCGATTGGAAAAAAACATAGCAAAGATCTTGTGCAAGCTTGAGAAGGTTTTCCCTCCATCTTTCTTCAACTCCATGGAGCATTTACCAATTCATTTGCCATATGAGGGCAAGTTATGTGGACCTGTTCAATATCGGTGGATGTATCCTTTCAAAAGGTAAATCAAAGGCCCTTTCTCAACTATTAATTACATCTCTTTTATTGCTTAGGGTTACTTATACTTCTACGGCTATATAAAAATAATTACAGGTTCCTCAATCACCTGAAACGAAAAATTGGTAATAAGGATCGTGTTGAAGGTTCCATATGCAACACTTATCTCACTGAAGAGATATTAAACTTCTGCTCCAATTACTTTCAGCCCTCAGTTGACACAAAAACACGAGATCTAGGTCGAAATGTGAATGTTGATGTGGAATCCACGGATAACAACGATGAAATCCCAGAGCTGTTCACGGTGGATAAGGGTCGTGTGTCAAATGCGGGTAAAACTCGGTATTTAGATGATAAGGAACTCGAACGCGCTCATTTGTTCGTTTTAAGAAATACCGACATTCTTGGTGAATACGAAAAGGTATATATGTTTAGGATAAACTTTTGAAAACCCCTTAAATTTAATATAATTGCTGCAATGATTAATCATGTGTCATTAATCTATTAGGCAGTTTGAGGACTACATTCTTAGTACTCGAACTTATTTGCGTCGAGAAGATGTCATGGAGAAATGCGAAAGTGAATTCTCTGATTGGTTTTATCACAAGGTGATAATACTTTTTGAACATTGCATATCGAATAACTTGTGATAATACAATATATTTCATTTCAATTAGTGTGACATTTGTATTCGTAACGGTTATAGGTGAGGGAACAGAAACCAAGTTCTGATGTCGTGCGAGCATTGTCTATGAGGCCTTTCAAGTGTGTTTGAACTTGGAACCAGATATTTGTCGGTGGCTTTAATTTCCACACACAGTCCTATGGCAAACACAAATCTACGATAAATTATGGGGTTTGTGTCTCAAGTGAGGACGGTGGAGTGTACTTTGGCATTTTAAACGACATAATTGAACTTGTCTACACCGGTCCCGAAAAAGAGTACAAGACTATTTTGTTTAGTTGTAATTGGATGGATTGTGGTAAAGGAATGAACATTCATGAACAATACAAGCTTGTCGAAGTAAATCATACTAAGAAATATCCCAAGTATGATCCATTTATCTTATCTTACCAAGTGTCTCAAGTGTATTATGCATCTTACCCTAGCCTTAAACGTGATCGGGTTCAATGGTGGGCTGTATTTAGAACTCAAGCAAGGTCGGTGATTGATGCTCCGGTGGATTTAGAGTTTTTGCAGGCTCCTTCACCACAAGTACATGCAACACTTTGTCCACCAACTGACATTCCAGACTATGAACTTGATAGTGATGATGATGATGACGATGGCTTTGCTATCTCAAGCGATGAAGAAGAAGAAGAAGATAGCATTGACTCCAGTAATAGTGACGAAGAAGAGGACATTGATGTATTTTTAGATGACACTAGTGATAGTAATAATGATAGTGGTAGTAGTGATAAGAGTAATGAAGAGGAGAATATGTAGTTACTCCTTTAACTATTGTCTTCGAATTTTTAGTTTTTAATGACTACTCGGAGTTGTAATATTGCATTACATATTTTTTCTCATTTTATTTTTTTATGTAATATGGATCTAATTTATGAAATTACAATGTGTGATCATGGTACTAACAATTTTTTCAGGTGGTCATCATGGGAGGAGGAAATAAAGGAGAATCGTCCAAGAGGAGAAAGACTAAGGGGAAATCTCAGGTTGTACGTGATGACGAGGATGAGTCAATGGAGGAAGAGGAGGCACATGATTTGGGGGCCTCTCAAGAAATCATCAATCGGAGACAGATTCATAGGCATGTACAAAGGCAACAGGAGCAAGAGCAACAGGAGCTACAGGACCCGCAACCTAATGACTTGCTGGAGTTGGACCCTTCCACACTTTGGTGCTTATGTATTTGTAATGAAATATCCTTAAATTCCTATTTATTTTGAGAAAGTGAATTTGCATTACTTTTACCATGTTTTGTTCACTTTTTGTTGATTATCTACTTACATGAATATTTATCCTTTATTATAGGTTTGATGATAAGCCGGTGAATAATGTGCTCTCCGACACGTTAACCGGCTACTATGTTGAGCCTTGGAAGAATTATGGAGAGGTTGATGAAGATTCGAGAGAGCAATTTTGGAACTTGTTCTGCGTATGATAACTTTAACCTAACATAAAATATGTTTTATAAAGTATATTGATGGAGTTGAATTTCTAATAAAGACATTTTCTTGATTTGCAGAAAAAATTCAAGTGGGCACCTGAGTTAAACGACCATGTGAAGCAAACTTTCGAATTCAAGTTTGAAAATAGCCTACGTGATACGTTCTACCACATCACAAAGAGGTTGAATGGTGTCAAACCAAAATGGCTTAATAAAGATGTCCACGAAGCCATGATGCGAATTGTTGCCACTGATCCAGAATATAAGAAGCGGTCGGAACAAAACAAGAAGAACTTTTGTCCACGAAGCCATGATGCGAATTGTTCCATGTCAGCTGTACAACATGCTAAAAGGATGAAAAGGTTCCTAAAATATGCCGAGTAACAACTAAGTCATTTGTGTATTAATGAACTTTTATGGGCTAACATGTTATCATTGATTTTCTGCATGTATATTTAAAGGCAGCACAAAACCAAGGCCAATTACCAAATGCCCATGATCTTTTCTTGAAGACACACTTCAAGGAAGTGCCTGGAAAAGGCCAAGTGTCTGCCAACACCAAAGCCAAAAGGATTGTGGTAAAAACTTATTATATGACTTGATATATGGAAAATTAACAAAGTAGAACTCATTATATGCTTATTTGAATGAATGTGGATGAATTAGGGTCGTAAAGTGACTTATGTGATCATTTTTCTTAATTTCTATCCATAGGAACCTAAAAGTAATTGATATTGGAATGCTAGAAGAAAGAACAAGTTCATTTGATTGAAAACATAGAAAATAGGCATGGTTTTAGCCATATAGGCCAAATTTGGATGATTTTGGATGAATAACGGTTGTAAATTGACATATGTGCTTATTTTTATTAATTTCTATCCATAAGAACCTAAAAGTAATTGATATTGGAATGTTAGAATAAAGAACGAGTTCAGTTGATTGAAAACATAGAAAATAGGCATGGTTTTAGCCATATAGGTCAAATTTGGATGATTTTGGATGAATAAGGGTCGTAAATTGACATATGTGCTTATTTTTCTTAATTTCTATCCATAGGAACCTAAAAGTAATTGATATTGGAATGATAGAAGACAGAACGAGTTCATTTGATTGAAAACATAGAAAATAGGCATGGTTTTAGCCATACAGGCCAAATTTGGATGATTAAGGATGAATAAGGGTCGTAATTTGACATATGTGCTCATTTTTCTTAATTTCTATCCATAGGCACCTAAAAGTAATTGATATTGGAATGCTAGAAGAAAGAACGAGTTCATTTGATTGAAAACATAGAAAATAGGCATGGTTTTAGCCATATAGGCCAAATTTGAATGATTTTGGATGAATAAGGGTCGTAAATTGACATATGTGCTTATTTTTCTAAACTTCTATCCATAGGAACCTAAAATTAATTGATATTGGAATTCTAGAAGAAAGAACGAGTTCATTTGATTGAAAACATAGAAAATAGGCATGGTTTAAGCCATATAGGCCAAATTTGCTTGAATTTGGATGAATAAGGGTCGTAAAGTGACTTATGTGTTTTTTTTCTTGATTTCTATCGATAGGCTCCTATAAGTAATTGAATTTGGAATGTTAGAAGAAAGAACGAGTCCATTTGATTGAAAACACCTTAAATTTCAGCCATATAGGCAAAATTAGCTTGAATAATCAAGAATAAGAAACCTTACCTTTTATTGTTGGTTGTTTTTTTAACAATTTTTTTTATTATCTTCAATATTTTGTAGGAGACCTACCATAAGAAGCTCGAAGAAACAAGGAGTCACAGGATTCAGAAGAGTCCCAATGAGTTGTACTGGGAGATGGTGGGTGGGCGCAATAAGAAGGGTCGTGTGAAGGGACTTGGCCAAAGTGCAGAGCTCTACTATGGCAACCGGATGGGTCGAGCTTCCCGTTCTTCATAGCAATACACGCCGTCTATCATTTCTCAAATGCAACATCAGATGGAACTTAGGGTTCAAGCTCTCCAAACTCAAATGGAAGTCGAGATGCAAAGCCGAATTGACTCCCGAATGGCTGAAATAGAGAGGAGATATAAGGAGATTATGGATGAGATGATGAGTCGTTTCACCAACAACGACTCATGTTCCACCATTCATCCTCAGCATCGAGACCCAAGGGACGACCCGGGTAGTGGTGGAGCAGGCTAGGGTACCCAGGCCATTGCGTAGCTTAGCTTTAGTCTAGCAAAGATCCACTCTAACATAGCTTTTGTTTGGTATGGATACCAAATTATGTACTATCTTTTGTATTATATATATATATATACACATATATATATATATACATATGTATATATCTATATGTATATATATATATATATATATATATATATATATGTATGTATATACATATATATATATAATCTATATATGTATGTATATACATATATATATATATAATCATATATATATATATATATGTATGTATATACACATATATATATATATATAATCATATATATATATATATATATATATATATATATATATATATATATATATATACATATATATATATATGGGGGAGGGATCCGGTAAGAACCCCTCCTTATATAAGAACCCTAGTTATATAAGAACCAATCTCAGCCGTAGGATTAAGGTAATTTAGACGGTTAAGATTAAAACACGTATTTTTCCTCATACCCCCTACGGCCCTACCACCCGATCAAAATTTTCTCTCTCCTCTAACTTTCTCTCTCTTCGTGCTCATCTCATTCTCTTTTGCAAACCCCCAAAAATCTCCATAGAAATTGCAATTTGAAGGATTTTCGACTCAGGTATGTTTTTTTTTTCGATTTTGTTCAAATTTCCATGAACTTAGCATGTTGTTCAAGTAGATTTTGCGATTTTTTGGTTTGCTTTTTGCGATTTTATGTTTTCCGATTTTTTGATTTGATTTTGCGTTTTTTTTTTTCGATTTTGTTCAAATTTCCATGAACTTAGCATGTTGTTCAAGTACATTTTGCGATTTATTGTTTTGATTTTTGCGATTTTATGTTTTCCGACTATTTGATTTGATTTTGCGATTTCGTGATTTGATATTTGCGTTTTTATGTTTTTTTAGTTCGATTTTTCGATGATTTTTTCGATTTTAATGGTTTTTCTGTTTTCGATTTTTATGGTTTTTTTGATTTGTTTTTGATATTTCGTGAGTTGATATTTGCGTTTTTTTTTAAAATGTCTGCTAAATGCTCGATTTCGTTAGTAAGTGAAATTATAGCTATGAATATGAATGTCCAGTATTTCTTAAAATCACTGTTTTTTTTCTTGTTGATGGATATGTATCTGGTATTTGTTGTTGATGGATATGTGTGATAACACTCTTCCGTCAATGTTATTTAATGGCTTGAAATCGACTTTGAGTTTGATGAGTAGTGAGTCTGAGTCATCTTTTGGATTACCAATGGACACAATACGAGTGACCGGGATTGCTGTACATGTTGCCTTGATTTGGTGGCTATTGTTGTCATTGAGAGGAGAAGCCATGTTTGTATGAAGATTTTGTTGCATATGGTGGTATGGATGGTGGCTATTGTTGTCATATGGTGGTATGAAGATTAATGAGCAAGCATAGCTTGAACAACTTGGCATTACTTATTCTGCTTGCATCAATTAGTCATGTCTAAAAGCAAATCTGGCTTATTCTCTATGTTCTATTTTTTCTTATTTTTCTGGATCTATAGTTCGAATTTAGTGTTCGATTTTTGCTGATTTTTTCGATAGCGGCTAGCCTGGCTAACCTAAAAGAACAATGCATATAGTACTTCGTAGAGTAAATAAAAACTGTAAAAGTATAAAACCCTCTCCCACTACACCAAAAATGTGGGCTCTGACCCTCTAAGTCCTTACAGTACTTAGTATTACATAATCTATTAATTTAGTAGGATTTGGTTTTTAGCTATAAAATGGACAAAATAACAGAGAAGCCTGAGAAGATGAAATTACATTTACATGGGATTTGATTTAATAATGTAAAACATTTGTCAGATGTCAGACTGAAGATTAATTAGTTCTGAAAGGTTTTGCAGAACAATCAGATATAGTGTACAATATAAAATTCTGTCATGCCCAATTCACAAACTTTTTTTCAAAATTGGTGATGTTGGTGCGATTGCCCCTGTTTGTAGGGGTTGTAGTGTGGTGGTTGATTTATGCAGCAGCAGCTAATTGGTTAGGGGTTGTTGGTAGTGAACTTGTGATTGCAGGGCTGAAAATAAACTTTAGAACATAGGTAGAAAAATTTGGAACATAGGAAAAAATTATAACATAGGTTGAAATAATTTAGAACATGGGCTGAAAATAAACTCAATCAAACCTTATCATGTTTCTGTTTCATTTGTCTTTTAAATTTCTAGTTTACTCATTCTATTTTGGGTTTTTCACTCTCCAGCATGTTCTAAACTCTTTTTTAGCATGTTCTAAACTATTTTTCAGCATATTTTAAATTATTCCTATGTTCAAAAATATAATAATAATGTTGGAATGTTACTAATGTTTTTTATTTCTTAAAATTGCAGCAAAATGCAAGGCCAAAATGAAGCAAAATCAGAAGGAGGAGTTACTAATATACAAGAAGAAGAAATTACTTATGTAAGAAAAAGGTAACTAAACTAATGTTCTAAACTTTACCTATTATGTTTTAAATTTTGTTCTAAAGTTTTCCAATATGTTCTAAAGTTTTCCCTTAAGTTCTAAAGATTTGTATTATGTTCTAAAGTTTTCCATTATGTTCTAAAGTTTTCCATTATGTTCTAAAATTTTCTCTTATGTTCTGAAGATTTGTATTATGTTCTAATATGTATCCATTATAGTTTATGTTCATCTTATTCCTTTATATTTGCACTCTATTTAATGTTAGTTGTATTCTAATTATTTTTAATTGTTTTTAAAGGAAAGTTGAAAACGTTGAAGCGGAAGTAATTGATAGATCGGAATTTGAGAAGCATATTGAAAGTAAAAGTGTTGCTATAAGACATAGAAAACTTCCAACAAGGCTTCAACCACCTCGAAAATTGCAAAAAAAGGAAGGAAGAGAAAAAGATCAAGAAGAAGGAAAAGATCAAAAAGAAGAAGAGGGTAATAATGTAGAGGATGATGACAAGAATAATGATAGTAAAGATGATGGTGAGGATGATAATAAGGGTGATGTAAAGATGAAAGAGAAAGATGAAAAAGAGGAGATGGAAGATGATAGTGAGGAGGAACAAAAAATCAATAAAAAAAATCAAACTCAGGTAATAATACTCTTTAATCTTTACAATCTTTATTTTTATGTTCTAAAGTGCACGCTTATGTTCTAATTTTGCTTATCTATGTTCTAATTATGTTTATCTATTCATGGTGAGGATGTGAAGAAGAAGAAAAGAAAGATTGAAAAAGAAGAAGATGGTGAGGATGTCCAAGTAGTAGAAGCTAATGAGCAAGATAAACTAGTTAAGAGGCAACCTTATCAAAGAGTACCTCCTACTCAATTCATGAAGGATGTGTTGATAAATCTTTCGGAAAAACAAAAGCAAGCTATTCGGAACATTGGTTTTGGAGGCTTTTTGGAATTGGATTTACCAATCCATATTAATTCTACGTAAGTAGTAGAATGTTATGTTCGAAAATCATATTCTAAAATCATAAGTATTATCAATGTTATGTTCAAAATTATGATTTGTCATGTTTGAATTGCTATACACTAATGTTCTAAATTATAAGATTATGTTCTAAATTAGTTATGCTCTAAATTTTGTGCATATGTTCTAAATAATATGATTATGTTCGAAATTAGCTATGTTCTAAATTATGTGCATATGTTCTAAATTGTATGATTATGTTCTACATTATGTGCATATGTTCTAAATAATATGATTATGTTGTAAATTACTTATGTTTTAAAGTTACTTCTTGTATTCTAAAATTATGAACTCTCATGTTTGAATTGCTATACACTAATGTTCTAAATTAATTTTTTGTTATGTTCTAATGTATGTTTATTATGTTCTAAAATAGACTTTTTTTATTATATAATGTTCTAAATTATGTTCAAGAGTTTAAATATTATACTAAATGTTTTAATCTTCTATGTTCTAAAGATTGACTATTATATTCTAAATATAGCTGTATTGTGCTTTAAATCTTACATTTTTCATTATAATTCTAGGTTGACAGAAAACTTGGTTACGAATTTTGACACGGAGAGATGTTGTTTGATGTTACCAAAGAGAAAACAAGAAATCTTTTTGGAGGCAATTGATGTTCATTTGGCTTATGGGTTGCCATTGGGAGGCAAAAGGATTGAGCAACCAAATGATGAGTCAAATCTGAAATGGAGCAAGTTTCTAAAAGCTTGGAGAAGCAAGTTTGGCCTCAAAAAAGTATGATGATATAATGTGGTTACGTTTTAAATTTTATGTTCTAAAGTATGAATTTTATGTTATAAATTGTATGTTTTAAAGTGCTTTGCTTATGTTCTAAAGTGTTTTTTGCTTTAAAATAGATCTATTATCTCCATAGGTTTTAATTTATATGTTTTTTTTTACCTCTAAAAGGGAAGTCCAACCAACAAGAGATTGATTGACAGAATTGAAGAAGGAAAAATCAGTTTCTGATGAATTTCTTTGGAACTTTGTGGTATGTGTTGTCAATTGTTGCATTCGATCAACAAACAACCCACAACTATACATTAAATTCTTGTATAGTTGTATGGATGTAAAGAAAATTGCTGAATTGGATTGGTGCACATTTGTGATTGAGCACTTGAAAGATTCTGTAAGTGTATGGAAGAAGGGAAATTCTTACTTTACAGGTCCTTTACCTTTTCTAATGGTAAGTTTTAAATTCTTACCATTATGTATATATATTATTCTTGTTATGTTGAAAATGTGTGAAAAATATTCTAATTAATTCTTAACATGTACTAAATAGGTATTCTATTTTGATCGTCTACAAAGAGGAGGGTTAGAAAAACCAAGAAAATGTCCACTAATTTCGGTGTGGACAAAGGAAAGGATTCAAGTGAGATATAAGTTTGAAAAAGATCATGGATTTGGATATGGAAAACTCTTGGAAAGAATGGAATCAATTGTGGTATGATATTTGTATATGTTTATGTTTAAACACTACACTTTATGTTGTTGTTTTCTAAATTTTATAATTTATATACTAGAAGGCACCAAAAGGAAAAAAGAAACAACCAAAACAAAAGGAAAAAGAGAAGAGAATGGAAAAATCATCAATAGGTTCTAGTTCTACAACTTCTCGAAATGACATGATGGTATGATTTAGTTTATATTGTAAATTATATTTTATGCTCCATTTAATCCTTTTCTGTTAAATTATCCATGTTATGTCCTTTATGTTCTAAAATATTTGTGTGTTCTAATGAAGGGCTTTTTGAGCAAATTTGGAGATTTGGCAAAAACACTTGCCTCGAATGTTAAAGAGATGTATGGCATGTTAGAACAAGCAAAAGATCTTTTTGTTGAGGAAGAAACAACAGGAAAAATGCAACATCTCATAGACAACATATGGTGCAAGTACACAACAAAGGTATTATAATTATGTTCTAAAGTATTTTCTGGTTGTGTTCTAAAGTATTTTCAGCTTATGTTCTAAAGTATAATAAATTTATATAAATATTATGCATATTATGTTCTAAATTATAATTTCTTATTTTATAGACATTCGTGAACCAAGAAGAAAAGAAAAGCCCTTCTATACTCAGCCAAGATCAAAATGTCTTCGATGAACCGACATTTATTGAAGAATTGGATATGGTTATGGATAAGGCATGGAAGAAATTCGAGGAAACAAGGTCACCAAAGTCACCGACAGTTGGTAATTTCACATGTACATGCTTAATTTCCAAATTATACTTATGTTCTATATTAGATGCTTATGTTTTAAAGTACTTTTTTATGTTCTAAAACATGCGCTTAAATCACATGCTTATGTTCTAAATTATATGATTATGTTCTAAATTAGTTATGTTCTAAATTAGTTATGTACTAAATTAGTTATGTTCTAATTGTTAAGCAGATTTGAGATCAAAGGAAGAGGAAAAAGATAAGAACAAAGAAGAGAGAAATGAAGAGAATAAAGACAAAAACTTGTTGATTCCCTCACCAGTAGTTGGTAATTTCACATTATTTTCAAATTCATTTTTTACGTACTAATATTTACTAGATATGTTCTAATATTACTTCTTATGCTCTAAATTTTTTCTGGTTATGCTTTAAAGTTAATTCTTAATTTTTTATATTCTAACTATTTCTAGGTTGTCTCCTAATTGTATATATTTCTTATGTTCTAAAGTTACTTTTTATTTTCTAATTATTTTTTGCTATTTGCTATAATACTTAATTTTTATGGTGTAATTGCTATGAAGATTTGGGATCAAAAGAAGAAGAAAAAGAGCAGTACAGAAAAGAGAGAAACGAGGAGGAAAAAATTGAGAAGAAAGAGAAAAGGAATGAGGAGTCACCAAAAACCCCAATTCCTCCAAAAAAGAAGCAACCTTTTGATATAACTCCTCCAAGTTTCAAGTTATTGACCCCCTCACCAGCAGTTGGTAGTTTTACATTATTTTCAAACTTTTTTCTTTTGAAATAATATTACTAGATTTGTTTTAAAATTACTTCTTATGTTATAAATTTTTTCTGTTATGTTCTAAAGTTATTTCTGATGTTCTAAATTTTTTCTAAATCAGATGCTTATGTTTTAAACTACTTTCTTATGTTCTAAATTATGTGCATATGCTCTAAATTATATGATTATGTACTAAATTATGTGCATATGCTCTAATAATATGATTATGTTCTAAATTATGTGCATATGTTCTAAATAATATGATTATGTTCTAAATTAGTTATGCTCTAAATTATGTGCATATTTTCTAAATAATATGATTATGTTTGAAATTAGTTATGCTCTAAATTATGTGCATATGTTCTAAATTGTATGATTATGTTCTAAATTATGTGCATATGTTCTAAATAATATAATTATGTTGTAAATTAGTTATGTTCTAAAGTTACTTCTTGTGTTCTAAATTTTTCTGGTTATATTCTAGTTATTTCTAATGTTCTAAATTTTTTCCAACTATTTCTATGTTGTGTCCTTATTGTTTCTACTTATGGTTTGATGTCCCAGAAAATCAAGAAGATAATGAAGCAGAACTCACTTACGAAGAAGTGACAGCAAATGTTCTAAATTGTGCTTTTCTAAATCCAGATCATCCACCTACATTGGATGAAGAGGAGAAGCAAGAAGAGGAAAAAGAGGAGAAGAAAGAAGAGGAAAAAGAGGAGAAGAAAGAAGAAAAGGAGAAGAAGAAAGAAGAGGAAAAAGAAGAGAAGCAAGAGGAGAAGAAAGAAGAAAAGGGGAAGAAGAAAGAGGAGGAAAAAAAGGAGATCCAAGAGGAGAAGAGAGAAGAAAAGGGGAAGAAGAAAAAGGAGGAGATCCAAGAGGAGAAGAGAGAAGAAAAGGGGAAGAAGAAAAAGGAGGAAAAAGAGGAGAATCAAGAGGAGAAGAAAGAAAATGAAGGAAGCAAGAATGAAGAGAAGAACAAAGAAGAAAAAAATGAGAACAAGAAAGGGTAATCATTTTGTAAACTTTAAAACAAATGTTGGTTATGGTTTAGTTAAATTTTAATTTAGAACTTGGTAATAATAAATTTTGGTTTGATTTGGTTATGGTTTTTGTTATCAATAAATTTTCGTTTGATTTAGTTATGGTTTTTGTTATCTATGTGATATTTTTTAATTGAATTAAGTAGGAAACAAGGAGAAGAAAAAGGAGAAGAAAAGACACGGAAAAAAAGAGGAAAGGATAAGCTTCCAATGTACTTGCGTTCACCTTTCATGGTTGAACATGAAAAACTTTTCAAGAATGTGGACAATAGAAAGGTAGTTGAGTATGCGTTTGCTCAAGGAGATAATAAGTAAGACTTTAAAACTTTAAAATTATATGCTTATGTTCTAAGCTATATGCTTATGTTCTAAGCTATATGCTTATGATCTAAGCTATAAATTATGTTCTAAACTTCATTCTTATGTTCTAAACTGCGTGTTCTAAGCTAAGAGATTATGTTATAAAGTACATGTGTAAAACTATATGCTTATGTTCTAAAATAGGTACTTATGTTCTAAACTATATTCTTATGTTTTAAACTACATGCTTATGTTCTAAACTACATGCTTATGTTCTAAACTACATGCTTATGTTCTGATTTTATTGTTCTGATTTTAGGGAGCTTTTGTATGCTGATAACATGGGGACAACGATTACGAGAGATGAGATTCATAGTCTCATAGAAGATAAGCACATGTTGAACAATGTTGTGGATGCTTATGTTTGCCTATTGAATTTTGAAAATAAAAGACGTGGTGTAGACAAGAAGAGTAGATTCTTTTTCAGTACTGAATGCTATGTATGTTTTCGAACTTAAAATTATAACTATGTTCTAAGAGTAGATTCTTTTTGTTTCTCATATAGATTATAATATGCACCTATGTTCTAATTACTTATGTTTTAATTTCTTTTTCTTTTTCAGCTCATACGTTGTACAGAAAAATACTTCAAATCAAATGAAAGGCAAGATGATAGAATGAAGGCTTTGTTTGATAGAATGCAACAAGAAATGACAACGACCGAAGTAACAAGCTTCAAAAGCATTCAATTGGTAATTTGGTATCTTATTATGTTGTACTTTTTTCTTATTATATGTTCTAATTATTGGTTTTGTTTATGTTCTAATTATTTTTATCTATGTTTTAAAGTATCTACTTATGTTCTAAACTACTTATTTATCTTCTAAACTACTTACTTATGTTCTAAACTACATGTTATAAAAATTATATGCTTGTGTTCTAATCTATATGCTTATGTTCTAAAATGCATGCTTATGTTCTAATTTTGCTTATCTATGTTCTAATTCTGTTTATCTATTAGGTTTTCTTCCCGGTCGTTTTACTAGATCACTACTATTTGCTGTGTGTCAACTTTGTGGAAGGAACATTTGATTTGATTGACAACAGATTTCTTCCACCAAATATTCCTTTTCACAATAAATATGGAAATTACCATAGATTAATGGTAAGACATCAAGTTTACATTTTTTTAATTATACTTTTGTTCTAACTTTTGCCTTATATGTTCTACAGTTTTTCTTTATGTTCTAAAGTTTACCTTATATGTTCTAAAGTTTATCCAATTTTTCAGTTGAATGCATTTGCTGATTTCGTTCACTCAATTGACTCAAATATAAAGAGTGACTTTGTATCCTCCTTCAAAACAAGAAACTTGAGTATGTCATGGAAGAGCAATAAGAACAAACATGATTGTGGAGTGTTCCTGTTGAAGCACATGGAAACATATGAAGGAGAATCTGTAAAACAATGGAATTCGGGACTAGAATTAGACAATGTAAGTTTAAAACATAAGATACATGTTTTAAATTAGTTTCGTTTATGGTTTTGGTGTTATGGTTTTAGTGTTGTGGTTTGGTTTGGTTATTGTTTAGATATATTATGGTTTATTATATTTATTTATACTTATATGCTAAATTATATTCATGTTCTAAATTATATGCTTATGTTCTAAAGTATTTCTGTTTATGTTCTAAAAGTTACTCTTTTTTTTTTTTTTTTTTTGCAGTTTGACCAAATGTTTATGTTTATGTTCTAAAAGTTACTCTTTTTTTTTTTTTTTTTTGCAGTTTGACCAAATGAAAAAATTAAGAGTGGAGTATTGTGGGAAGATAATAACAGCAGAAGTAAATGAAGAACGGAACAAAGTGATTAGGAGATCAAAAAAGTGGTCAAAGGAGAACAAAATGGATATATGATTGTTAAGATCTTAAGTTTATATTTGTAGAGAGATATTTGCAAAGAATATAACAGTAATTTTTTATGTTCTATGTATTTACCTGTTACAAGAAATATATTGTTGAATCATATTAAATGCTAAAATTTTAATATAAAATATATCATATAAACTTATATGCTAAATTATATTCATGTTCTAAATTATATGGGTATGTTCTAAAGTATTTTTGATTATGTTTTAATAATTATATGCTTATAAAGTTAGGATATTAGAATATATTATTATATATTAATTTTGACTTAAAACTTAAAGTGTAGAACATTAGAACATAAGAAAATTAAAAAAAAGTAACAAGAAATGACAACAGCCAAAGTAACAAGATTCCAAAGCATTCAATTGGTAACTTGATTCTAATTATATCTTATTATGTTGTACTTTTTTCTTATTACATGTCCAAATTATTGATTTTGCTAATCTTCTAATTATTTTTATCTATGTTCTAAAGTATTTGCTTATGTTCTAAACTGGCTGCTTCTAATCCATTACTTTTGCTTTATTTTTCCTTTTGAATACAATGCATACACTCTTTAGTGCATATCTAAGAAGGCATATGTAAATCAATGTTAAGAAACTTGAATAAATAAAAGTTGATTAAAGCAAGATTCAACTAAATGTTGTTTAATAAAGGTATCTAAAATGCTTATACTATCATTACTCGTAGTTCAAATTGACTTAATAAAACAACTTATAATTACGAAAAGGGGGGAAGATGAAAAGACAGGAGATGTTATAAAACATTATAATCAACTTTAATTAACATAAAAATTGATAAGAAAAACACTAGTAGAGATACTCTGAATAATAATTGGACAAAAAAGAAATAAAAATATATTGTTTCTAAAAGTAAATAAATTGAGTTCTTATATTTTAAGAATTACATGAATAATATTTTACGTGCTAGTAAATGAGATATTGTTTCTAAATATATAACATCTCATGCAACTGGATTAATAGTATATTCACCAACCTGTAAAGAAAAAAAAAATAAAACAATATTAGAACATAAGCACATAATTTAGCATTAAAAAATGTTATAACATGCCATTTCTATTAGTTTAGAACACATGATATTATATAGAGTAAAAACTTTAGAACATTTAAAGAAACCTTTAAAACATATAAAGAAAACTTTAGAACATATAAAGAAAATATTTTGAACATAAAGAGAAAAGTTAAAATATAAAGGAAAACTTTAGAACAAAATGAATAACTTTATATTCTAAACATTAGAGCATATTAAATTACACTAAAACAGAAAGAATAAACATTAGAACATAGAGAAAACACTTTAGAACATAGAAAAGTAACTTTAGAACAAAGAGAAAACACTTTAGAACATATTGAATTACTTTAGAACATATATGAATAACTTTATGTTCTAAACTTGCTTAAAACATAATTACTTTAGAACAAAATAAATATAAGAAAATTAAAAATAAAGTTTACTTACAATATCACTTGACTTTTCCAGGGCAATTACGACTATCATGATAACCAAGCTCCCCACATGCTCTACATAATCTCTTCTTCTTTTGACTTTGTTCAATAGACTTTTCTCTGTCACTCTTCATTCTTTTGTCACTATTTGGAACATGAACCTCATTTGGAACATGGACATCATTTGGAACATGGACATCATTTGGAACATTTACGTGATTTGGAACATGAACCTGATTTGGAACATGGACATCATTTGGAACATTGACCTGATTTGGAACATGAACCCCCGTGCCTTTGTTCTTCGAAATTTTAGGAGGTTTGATTAAAACATTAGAAGGTAGACTAGCTCCAATAAGCATTTCAATGTCTTTAACTTTGCTCGAAAGATTGTTGCTTCCATTTGTTTTCTTCTGTTCCAAATCTACCCTCATGGCTCGAAGTTTTTTGACAAGATCACTAAGATCATCTTCATTGTTTTGCACTAAACTCACACAAGCATGAATTTCAGACCACAAATCATTTAATAACATTTTCTTATCTACTGCATTAATACATTCCTCCAACACATTACCCTCTAAATCAAAAATGGGCTTCTTATAAGCCATTGTACACCATCTATTTAGAATGTAGGCCTTGGGAATTTTTTCTAACATCCTTGCCTTCCACACCCAAATCATATGCCTACAAGGCACACCATCACGTTCAAATTTTTTACAAAAACACTTGGTATCAAAGGTAGTTGGATCAAAAACAACATCAAAAGTCCTCCTTCTAGTTCCTTCCCTCAAATTGAAAATGTAAAGCTCATTGTCCTTCTTCATCTCCTCAACACCACAATTAAAACATCCAATTTCAAGCTCATATTGAAATTCATAGAAAATTGTTGTTGTAAACAATTCAGAAGCATCTTTCTCTAAAGGAATTGGAGTCTTACACTCCGGACGCTTATTCTTCGAATCATTATCCATTTTATTTTGAGTGTGCCTTTGAGCATCCAATGCACATTCAAACCTATAGAAAATAGAAATTAACTTTAAAACATAGAAGATAATTGTAGAACATAGAGTGAATTACATTAGAACATATAAATATACATGACATGTTTATTATGATCTAAATATTATTAAAACATAAAGAGAAAAAGAAAACATAAAAGAGAATTATAAAATAAATAGTAAAACTATAAAGCATAAAAAGAAAACTTTAGAGCATACAAGGAAAACTTTAGAACATAAAGAGTAACTTTAGAACATATATAGACAATTACTTATTACCTCATGTAGAACTCAATCAAAGTGAGATGGGGATTTGTGAACATAGTGAAAAAATTATTTTCACTTTCTGATCTAGATGTGGTTCTCATAATGCCACCCAAAAATAAATCTCTGAAATACGCTGGAATCCACATATCACGTATGTTGTACATGTATGCCAACCATTCATGATCGTTCAAATGGAATTCTGAAATAACTTTGTTCCACTTTTCTTCAAATTCTGCCGGCTCAATCTCTAAATGCCAAACACATGAACACAGTTTTTTCAAGAAATCAGTGTCTTGGGCAATCGCCCGACCTACTTTTTCAGGCACCTTTTTCATAATATGCCACATACAAAACCTATGTTCTGTAGTTTGAAAAACATTACGAACAGCAACTTTCATTGCAGGGTCTTGATCGGTAATCAAACACACAGGCTCGTTATTTCCCATTGCTTTAAGAAAAGTTTTGAAAACCCATTCAAAAGATGATATATCCTCATGAGCTACAAAAGAAGCCGCAAAAGTAACACATTTTTTATGATGATCAACTCCAGTAAATGGACCAAAGATCATATTATATCTGTAACATACACAAATTATTTATGCAGAAAATAGAGGTAAACTTTAGAACATAGAGGTAAATTGTAGAACATAGAGGTATACTTTAGAACATAGAGGTATACTTTAGAACATTAAGGATAAACTTTAGAGGATAGTAATTTACTTTAATTATTAAACTTGGCAGTAATATAGTTGTTTTAAAACATAATGAATTACTCTAAAACATAAACACTAAACTAAAAATATACAGTAAAGCTTTAAAAACTTATAAGTAAACTTTAGAACATATAGACATAATGTTTAGAACATGATGGATATTAGTTTAGAACACAAAGAATAAAGTGTAAAACACAAAAGCATAATGTTTAAAGCATAAAAGCATGATGGATATATTTTAAAGCATAAGGTAGAACATTAGCAATATATGTTTAGAACATAAGGCATACATAGTTTAGAACATAAAGAATATTTGTTTAGAACATCAAAACATGATGGATATTTGTTTAGGAACACAAGGCATGATATTTAGAATATAAGAACATATGTTTAAAAAATTAATATGTAAAAGTAAAATATTAATTACATTATGAAAGAAATTTATATTTAAAACATCACCTGTTTGTTTTGAATGTGGTATCAAAAGAAACCATATCACCAAAAAGTGCATAATTTTTTCGACAGATTGGATCAGCCCATAAAGCTCTACAAAGTCTATCTTCTTCATCAACATCATAGGAAAAAAAAATGCACTCCAGAGCACTTTCTTATTTTGAAAATTATCCACAAACATTTGGGCATCTGATCCATCAATATAAGCCTTCAAATCTCTATAAAAATTTTTGAAATCTTGTTTAGATGCACCAACATTATCATGTGATCCAGCTAATTCTTTCATCATAGTATAAGACCTCACAGGACCAACATTTACCTGTTAGAAAAAAAAAAAAATATTACTAAGATTAAGAATTAACTTTAGAACATAGTAAATCAAAACAAAAAAAAAACATTATTTAGTACATAAAAATAAATCACCTTTGAATTATCAACAATCAACTTTTTATGCATAATATGCATTTTTCTATTATCCTTCTGAAATTTTGCACAACTTGGAGTATATAAAGGATGATTATGTTCTTCTTTGAAATGAGTTACAACATACTTTCCAGCATCATATCTCATACATATGTGAGCATTGCATCCTACACGAGTGACTAAACGTTTCCTAGTAATATGAACTTTTCCTTCTTCATAAACTGTTTGTTGAGCAATAGGTTTTCTTATTGCCCTAAAACCTTCCTTATTGCAAACTCCATATTGAAAAGCAATTATATCTTTGTTATTCTTCTTCCTTTTAGTAGTAGATTTCCTAGAAGTAAACCCAGCGGCATTTGCATATGCTTTATAAAAACTAAGACCCTCTTCAGGATCTTTAAATATCATACCCAAACTGGGTTTTAACTCCTTGGGAACATTTGGAATCCATTCCTTAGTGGTACCACCAGGGCTAAATGATCCAACAACCTCTGGAGTACGATAAATATCACCAACTGCATTAGAACATGAAAGTAAACATTAGAACATACAATGAAAGTCATAGAATATGAAGAAAACATTAGCACATAATAAAAAACTTTATAATATAAAGAGAAAGATACATAGAAAACTTTAGAACATACAGAGAAAACTTTAGAACATCAAGGATAACCTTTAGAACATAGTAAATTAGGGACATACTTATAACATATTGCTTTAGAACATAGTGAATTACTTTATAACATACATAATAAAATTTAGAATAAAGTAAAAAAATTAAACTAAAAGGTTAACTTTAGAACATACAATGAAAGTAAACATTAGAACATAAAAAGTAAAATTTAAAACTAGAAGGTAAACTTTAGAACATAGAATGAAAGTTTTAGAATATAAAGATAAAGTAGGATTCCCTACTCCCTATGTCAGATTGGTGGGGCCATGGTTTGGTGATTCCAGTGGCAGTGACATGCATCAACTATCCCTATGTCAGATTGCTAGGATAAAGTAGCATTCCCAACTCCCAAGCCCCCAATGCCCAGCTCCAAGACGAGCCTTGAGGTTGTTGTGGCATTATCCAATAATGATCGATATTGTTTACCCACAGTTTACTTTGAATCATTACAAATTATTTAAAATGGATTAGATATTTTTTATTTATCAAATTAATTAACTTCCTCAATAATGATCAATATTGTTTACCCACACGTACTACTTTTTATAATCCTTCATCAACCACTCTTTCATACTCCGATGTATTCTGCATTCTAAAAGGAGTTCAATAGGCAACGGAACATGGCATTTGCACTTATCATTCGGATGGGAACATATAGAGAAAACTTTAGAACATTACCGATAAACTTTAGAACATAGTAAAGAAACTTTAGAACATGTAAGTAAATTGAAATTAAAACATTAAAAACAATAAAATTACCTGAATGAGAAACACAAGAAGAAGGATAATTAGGTTGAACACCATCTAAATCCATCAATATGCAAAAACCTATTTAAAAAAACACATATTGTAGCAAAAAAGCAACTAGAAATTAAAATCCATTAAAAAACAAAAATATGGAAAAAAAACTCAAGCAAAGGAAAAAACAGAACAATCTGGAAATGAAAAATCACAAAAAAAAACAGAAAATTAATGAAAAAAAACTGAAGAAAATTCGCAAAAAAAAAAAAATAGATAAAATCGAAAAAAAACAAAAAATAATTGCTCGAAAGTAGGAAAAAAAAAACAAAAAAACATATAACATTGAAAAAATCTGGAAATGAAAAATCGAAGAAGAAAGAGAAAACTAGAAAATGAAATTGATGAAATTAATGAAAAAAACTCAAGAAAATTCGCAAAAAAAAAAAAAAAAAAAAAAGATAAAATCAACATAAACTTACATTAATCTCAATAATAAAAAAAATGAATGATGAAATCGCAAAAAGAAAAAAAAAACAGATTTTTGCTGATTTTCGAATTGATGAATTGCATATCCACAAATAATATGAAAAATAAAATTTCACACAAATTCGCCAAAATAAAAAAAAATCAACAAAAATTCGCAAAGAATAGATATCAATAAATAAATTAACTAAAAGAATTATCAAAATTATAAAAATTGAATAACAAACCTTAATTTCTTGAAGGAATTTGCATCCAAAAGTATGAGAAGAGAGAGAGTTGTAATGTATGAGAGGAGAGAGAAAGAGTTGTAAATTTGTAATGTATGAGAGGAGAGAGAGAGCTGTAATGTTCAAAGCCCAAAAAAAAAAGGAAAGAAGAACCGTGAATGAGGAGAAAGAAAGGGAAAAGAACAGCAAAAATTACTAAAATGCCATTACTAATCATTCATTTTCAGCGGTCAGATCAAACTAATTGTACGGTCCAGATTAGTTCTTATATATAATGGGTTCTTATATAGAGGAGGGTTCTTACATGAGCCTTCCTCTATATATATGTATATATATATATATGTATTTATATATACATTTATATATATATATATATATATATATATATATATATATATATATATATAATTTCGTAGGTTGGTAATTAATTTTTTTTAAACAACTTCAGGTTTTGAAATGCATTTTTTTGTCGATTTATTATAAACAAAATTCAGGTTTGGAAATGCATTTTTTATCGAAAATTTCTGGCGGGTTGGAAGGTCGTTTCGACGGAATGTTTCCTCGCAAAATAAAAATTCCGACGGACTTTTTCCTCACAAATATAAAATTCCGACGGAATTTTTCCTCTCAAACAAAATATTCTGACGGAATTTTTCCTCGCAAACAAAAAATTCCGACGGAATTTTCCCTCGCAAATAATATGTTCCGACGGAATTTTTCCTCGCAAATATTTTTTTCCGACGGAATTGTTCCTTGCAAATAATTGTTTCCGACGGAATTTTTCCTCGCAACAATTCAATTCCGACGGAATTTTCCGTCGCAAAATATATTTTCCGACAGAAAATTCCGTCGGAAAATATATTTTTCGACGGATACTTCCGTCGGAATTTAAATGTTGCGACGGATGTTTTTCCGTCGAAAAATTGCGACGGACCTTATTTAAAGTCAAATCAAATTCCGACAACGTTGTTTTCGTCATAATTTCCGTCGGAAATGAGGTTTACGACGGAAATTCCGTCGGAAAATGACCAATTTCCTACAAAGTGTTTTCCGACGGACGCTTCCGACGGAAACCTCATTTTCGACGGATATTGTATAAGTTCTGATGAATTTTTTCCGTCGCAATTCTGCTGTTTTCTTGTAGTGAAAGCCCGAATCGGTACTGTTCCCATCATCTTCTTTATCAATTTTCTTTTTCTTCTCCGACATGTTGTATGTCCGTGTATAGGTGAAATTGGACTTCATCACATAAGAATTCAGCATGCCCTTCTCGGCTAGCTTGTCCAACAGTCTCTTCAAATTGATTCAATCGTTTGTGTCATGCCCCACGTCCTTGTGGTAATGACAATATTTGTTTTTGTTCCTGTACTGAGCCAAGCCTCTTAGCGACTGGGGCTTTTCAAACTCGAACTTATCCTTGATTTCCATCAGGATGGAGTAACAATCCTTATTGAACTCATACTGGGGCTCGTACGTCTTGACTTTATTTGATTTATGTTGCTGGCCGTCGGCCACCCAGACTTCTTTCCTTTTATTTCCTTCTTTCTTTTTTCCGGTCGAGTCTTCCTGAGTAGATTGTTTCTTCTCAGCCCCCTTGGCCTATGTATCTTGTAAGAGAACAAAAGTCGGCTGCCTCAATATAGGCTTCGGCTACCCGTAGAACGCCTGTGTATGTTCGAACCTTTTTTCTTACCAGATCTAACTTAAAACCATTATGCCTTAATCCCCGGAGAAATTTAGAGTAAGCCATTTCATCCAGAAGATTATGAATTTGGGCTTTTTCTTGGTTAAATCTCTGGACGTACGAACGTAGGCCCTCATTTTTTCCTTGAATAATTGTTGCCAAGTTAAGACTTGTCTTTTGAGGTGGTATGTTGTAAGAGAAATTTCCCACGAACAGCAAATTGAGTGTGGTAAAGCAATTAATACACCCGGCCGGAAGGCTATTGAGCCAATCCTGCGCCACACCCTTCAACGTGGCCAGGAAGCACTTGCACCATGTAGTGTCATCTACGCTTTGTAAGTACATCAGGTTTTTGTACGAAGTGATATGTTCCTCGGGGTTGCCCGTACCATCATAGGCGCCCACGAGCACACTTTTCACCTTCGGCGGCTGAGGAGCAGATAAAATCTCTTGCGAAAATGGAGGCGGCTTATCTCCAAAAGTTAGCAAGCACATCTGCCAATCAATTGGCTGGGGTTGCACAAGCTGTCCGGCCAAACAGGGAGTCTGGCCGAACGTTTGACCGACCGAGCGGCCCATATTGTACGAAGACCTGGGGGCTCGATTGTAAAATGTCGTTGAAACCCTAGGGGGGCTGATACTGGAATAGGAGTTTGAGTACGAACAGCTTGACTCCCACTGGAGATGATCGAGTTGTTATGTTGGGAAAGAGAGTGGTTGGAAAATCCATCCGGCATTGTGGTAGTTGAAGCCGTGTCTGAGTAAGCGGCACGTTCCGGTTGCTTATGCCGAAGATAGTCTCTTGCGTCCTTCCATCACTGAGACGACTTTGTCTCTTCTCTTTGAGGCTGTCTGCCCCTCCCCCCAGCCAACTGGGTTTTTGCCAACAGACCAAACAAATTCGTCCGTGGCACCCTCGGAGACCTTCCATTCGGCCGGGGAAATGGGGTGTTCCCAGCATCTGTTGCATTGGTTGCTCTGTTATGAGTTTTCTTTGGAGCTCTTTCTCCCTCCTTCCTCGATGGCTTCCTAGAGGTAGAAGCTCGGTTGCTCTCAAACTCCTACCAAATTTTGTTGAGTGCGGTCTGCAAAGAAGCAGCAGTAATAAGAGGATCATCGGCCTCATGAAATGTAGCGGTCAATGGATAACTGGAATGAATTGTAGGGACGATATCCTCTACATGACCGTCCTCGCCTAGACGAGGGTCGGTATTAGGTGTCTGACCATCTATTTCCATAACGGACTAGTATCCCCACAAACGGCGCCAAATGTTTAGGGTGTTTTTTAGATTTCCTCGGATACTGGTTGCGCTCTTCAGGCAATGAGACTCGGACACCTGCAAAATAAACGAATATTCCTTTTCCGGAATATTTGCCTCCGACGATCTAGTTAGATATCTGTAGACACCCAAATGTGTCTCTCCAAAACCAAACCCAGTGATGAATACCTTTCACGTCATTTGATTATCGAACAAAACGAAAGTGTGAAAAGTCTAGTGATGAGGATGTTTTTACTAAAATATCTCTTCTTTCTGTTTTTGAAAATATTTCTTTTCTTACCTTATTTATGAAAAACGTGCATTCTAGTTTACTTTGGTCCATGATATGGGTCTAATAATGGTCTAATTGGATGGGGCTTGAAAAGACCTTTCCAACGATATATTATAAGCCCAATTCCGATGAATAATGAGGAAGTTATGGCCAAAATACTAAACTGGGCTATAACCGGGTCTTACCTACGGCCCAATGATCATGTGGAGGGTCCAAAGGTTTAATCTTATTCCTAAACTAATTAGGATTAATTAGAACCTTCTATAAGTTTCTAAAAGATCTTAATTATCCTTTTTGAAAAGAAAAGATTAAAGAATTTGAGTTAAATAAAAACATTCCTTTTTTAAAACTTTCCTTTTTCTTAAATCCTAATTCTATTCGAATTTAAAGATGTTCAAAGACATTCAGATTTTATTTTTGTGCCTCATAATCTTTATCCAATTTTTATATGGTTGGATAGATCTTGAAATTATCTTTCCAATGATATATTATGATATTAAATCCGAGTCATAACGAAAAAGATATGAATGATATATAAAACTCTATCCAAAACTGACACCGTCCTACTATTTTGAACTTATCTTTTTATAATGATTTTAATTTAATTATAATTAGGTTGGAAAGTAGACTTCAAGAGCTTTCCAACGACATATTATATGCCTTATTTCGACTTCTGAATCAAAAGATATGATAAAAACAAAATCCGCAAAGACTGCTGTCCATCGAGTTTTATTTCGATTCGAATTCGGATTCTTTTCTTATTCTTCGACTCTCTTTTTTCCTATAAATAGAGGACATATCTCCCCTTTTTCAATCACCAACTCTCATCAAGAAATTCTTCATTCTCTCTCTCTTTCTAAGCCTAGCCTTTTACAAACACAATTCCTCATACAAGATCTAGACACACCTAGCATAATTCGAAGTTGCCTTCGCCTTAGACGTGAAAGGTTTTAATTTATGAGGATTTAGTCCCAAATACCTCTTTTCAATTATTTAATTTAATTGTTTGATTTAATTATTTTCCTTGAAGTTACTAACGTGTGTATTTTGTTATTAGAAAGAGATACGAGGCATCCAAGTAAGTGCTTTAATTGATTTATTGATATTATGATATAGAAATCATGCTTAGGTTGTTATTATGATTCCTAGTGTCATGTTAGAATGTTTTGATCTTCCTAGTATCATGTTTAGGGTAATAACTATAATTTCTAATATCAAATATGACAA